CTGTGCTGTGTCCACTCAAGGGAATTCTCAAGCAGATCAGTGGGTAAAGACCTACAAACTACAGTTATCCACAGATGGGACAACTTGGACAGACTACAAGGAAGGTGGACAAATTAAGGTACCTATATGAGACATACATGCGGTGCATACTTCAAGACATCATTTCTCAGAGAATTATTTTCTTGCACTCACTTAGAGCTGTGAGTATTTCTGAATATGCAATAATGTTGAAGAGACTCAATAGGAATATCAGCAATGTATGTTGATTATTCGTGACCTTTTTACTTCAAGAAATCATATTTTTGAGGATGTATAAGGATTTATTTCCTTTTCTTTTGAAGGTTCTAGATGGAAATCTTGACCGAAACTCAGAGGTTAAACATGCTGTTTATGGAGTGTTGACCAAATATCTCCGATTTCTGCCTCAAACTCACCAGGGTGGGGTGTGTATGAGAACAGAGGTGTTTGGAGTGACTCAAAAGCCAAGTGAGTTTGAAATGCATTAATTATAATAAATAAATTAATCTTCAACCTATTAGCTGGGTCATTTTTGTAACACTTGTTATTCTGACTAAATGAGCCTTAACCTTCTAACTCCCACAAGCGACCAAGACAGAATTTCTCCTCGCGATATCAATACAATATCAATCAGATAAGTGATAAGAATAAAGAAAAATATCAATTTGGGGATAATAAGTTGATCCAATAACTAATTCTCTGAACTAACATTATAAGAAATATATAGTTGACAGTAGTGAGAATTACAAATTTGATATGGGAGTTAAATAGTTAAAGATACAAATCATTTTTAATTCTCTTATCAGATAAAAAAGTAAGCAACAACAACATAAAATCATTAGTTTTGGAAAATATTGAAATGCAAATTACTCAGACAAGTTCCTGCCAGCAGTTTACAGGGTGAAGAGGGCATTGACTAAGAAGTATTTTTAGTGTACTAGACACAGTAATGAAACTTAAGTTAAATGTTTCAGGCAAAACACTTTCATTCAACACTTAGAAGCTGAGTCATTGAAGCTCTGTTAACCCTTTACCTCCTGTGTCAGTACAATAGCAAGCAGACAAGTGATGAGAATAAAGACAAATATTAATTAAGGGATTATTAGTTGATCTAATACCAAATTCTCCAAACTAACATCACAAGAACTGTATGGCAGACAGTAAGGAGAATTGCTAATGAGATCTTGGGAGTTAAAGGGGTAAGATAATTAGCAAACGTTGGAAAAAATTCAGGGCTTTAACCTTTTAACTCCCAG